GGAAGCCTAACCGGGTCCATTTTCAGGTGGGCGGGGCACAGCAGGAATGCAGCAGAGCAGGGGGTCGGAACCAGAGCAGCTACCCTCAGAGCCATGCCCTTGACCAAACAATGCTGACCGGGTCCCACTGGACAGTGACACGCTACCACGCACGACGTCATTTCAATCAATTTGAACATTTAGACGAAGCAGACACACATCCAGAAAAACACAACAAACTGACCCAAGAAGAAACAGAGAGCCTGGATAGCCTTCACAGATGGAGAGAGTAATGGGCAGTCCAAAGCAGTCCACAAAGAAAACTCCAGGCCCGGGTGGCAGTTTTACAGCAAAATCCCAGACGCCTGTGAGGAACAGAGTCCTCTTCGTCCCAAAACTCACACAGAACATAAACACCATTTCTACTCAGCCCTGAACTAGAGCATCGGGCCGGCTCCAGACGGCAGGAAAAATAATTAAAAGATAAAAGCATTGAAATAGAAGAGGAAAATACTGTTGCTATTCATAAATGACACTGTCTATACAGAAAAGCCAAGATTCTACAAATTATTACAATTAATAAAAAGATTTTAGCAAAATGGCAGGACAAAGTCATTGGGCAAAAGTCAATTACACTCCACAGGAAGAACCTGGCTTCCTCAAGAAATAAAGTTCAGGAGGAAAAAAGAAAAACTAAGATAGAGGAGAAGCTAGAGATTTGGTAAGACTTAAAAGGCGCATCATCGACTACAACGCGTGGATCTCGTAAGGACCCCATGGAAATGCATGTCTCTGTGGTGCTCCGGAACCCACCGGTGGGCAGGAAGCCACGGCTGCAACTGTACGACACTTGGTCACGGAAGAGACACACCCTGAAATACTCACACAGGAGATGTGCTGATGTCTGGGGCTTCCTTCTAAATGCCCTGGGCAGGGGGGTCATGAGGGCACAGGTGAGGCTGGACCGGCCACGGGGGATGCCCCTCACCCCGAAACCCAGTGGACGGGTGCTGGGTTCATGACATCACTGCGCCTACTGTTCTGTTTGAAGTTATCTCACATTTAGAAAGTTAAAAAACAAGATGTAAAAATTAAATAAAACCTCTGGACTTTCCTTCTTAAAACAACCAGTTGTGTGTGCATGCACCAGCAACAAAGACTTGGAACATGTAATTTATACCATTTATAATGGTACCAATTATAAAAGCAGCAAAAAACATGTTCTCATTTTGTTAAGTTTAAGGGAAGATATGTCAGATCCTTATGGAGAAAATTATAAACCTTTATTGAAAGACGTTAAAGACCCAATAAACAGAAAGACCTACACGTTCATGGGTTGGAAGACTGGTGATGACAGAGATTCTGATTCTCACACGTTAACACAGCGGATGCAAAGCAGTCCCAGTCCAAGTTTGACACAGGGATTCTATAATCTATTCAGCAACAAAAGGCCAAAACACCCAAGACATTTCTAAGGAAAAGCAAGTAGAGCAACTTGCCCTAAAAAATATCCAAGTTACAACAACTGTATGAAAATTAGGGTAGAACTTTGCACAGGAATAGAAAACTTGACCAGGAGAACCTGTAAGGGAAACGGTACTCATCACAGAGCTGGCACTGCAGGTCTGTAGAAAGGGATGGAATTTTCAGTCAAGGGCCCAGGGACCATCTCTTATACGGAGAAAAGTGGTATTGCACTCCACCCTCCCCTCCCCACCTCTCGCCGTAAACAAAACTCAATTCCAGGTGATTGCAAGACTTAAATATGAAAAACAAATTATATAAGCTTTAGAGGAAGTAAAGGCAAAATCATTATCACCGTATCATAGAATTTATTAAACAGAAAACGCACACCATGACAGGGATGATTGATAAACTCAGCTACGTCGTGATTAAGAACCTGCTTTCCTCAGCAGCACCATAACGAAAAGTCAACACAGTGGACAAAGCTTTCACCTCCAGAAACCTTGTATATCGACAAGAACAAGACAAACTCAAAGGAAAAATACACAAAAGAGTTACCCAGAGAGCCCCAAATGCCCAGTGATCACACGAAAACCTGATCAATCCCATGAGTTACCAGAGAAATGTGAATTACAACCAGAAGACACCATTCCACGCCCACAGACGGGCAAACATTCATGGCCGCCACCGCCTGGTGCTGAAGGGATGGGAAGCAGGGGCAGGTCAGCATAACCACCGGCCACCGAGCTGGCCACCCCTGGCCACACCCTCGCTTGGGCCATCCTGACAGCGCCAGCGTCCAAGGGTCCTCAGCACCACCACGCAACAGGGCCCAAAACAGGTGCCCTAACAGCCCCTCCTCGCCCATGGACGAGGTACGCCTGCCATGGCCACGCACATGACCCAGTGCCACAGAGAAGGGAGGTGGAAGGGCAGCCACGTGAACGGCAGTGACTCGGGGGCAAAACAGCAAAACCAGCAAACTGCAGAATAATTCAACCATACAGAGTCCCAAAACACGCAGGCTCGCAAGGTCTGTGTGAGACTCTGACATGTAGCAGCAAAACCACAGGCTAGAGCCAGGAAGCCATAACCCACAGCCCAGGGGCGACGGGAAGGCACTGGGATCCAGGGGAGGCACCTGGGAGTCCGCGTCGCCAAGCGTTAAACCGTCACATTTAAAGTCCCCATGCACACTCGCACTCACTGAGTCGCACATCTGCCTGGCACCCCAAGGACACGAAATCGGTTACGTAAGCCACATGTCCTGCCGAAAACCCCCTTGGCCCAGGGAAGGGAGCCGGCGAGTGAGCAGACTGCGCGGTCAGCCTGCGGGGTGAGGGCTCGGCACCCGGGAACCGAGAAGCGGATCCCGCCCGGTGTAGCCCAGGACGGCGTTGGTCACCCCATGGGCCTCGCTTCCTGCACTGCGCACTGCACGCTAACACCTGCTCCACAGTCAACCACTCGGCCATCTGCCAAGCAACCGCAGACCACCGCAGAATGACCGCAGACACCCAAGTCCACCCCACAGCAGAGTAGCCTCTCCCACTCTGCTCTCTCCTGGTGCCGACTCAGCCCAACACCAACCGCGCCACCCCAGCCCAGGGCCAGGGTCACCCCTGGTCCCGGGTCACAGGCAGCGCCGGGCAGGACAGAACCCATCTACAGCCACCAACACAGCACAGTGGAGACCCGCCCACACTGCCAGCTGCTGTCCTTACCTAGGGGCTGATAGCCTTGTGTGGAGGGCCCCCCAAAAGGGCCGTGGCTCCCCAGGCCGCCGCTGCCAGCGATGGATCCGTAGGACATCTTCTCACAGAAGGCAGGGCCGCCGCCTTCCTGCAGAGCTGGAAGAAACCAAACCCGGGCAGGGAGGGAGGAAAGAGGGTTTAGCGCTGGGATTCAGGATGCACTCTGGCCCCGCCCACCCTGCCTAGGAGTCTGACTCTGCTGCACCCTCACCTTGCAAGTCAACAAATAATGTCTAAATGTTGAAAAAAAATCAAGCAGTAGCGACACGAGTGTGTTATTCAGAGGAAAGCATCAAAGATCTACTAGAAGAATCCAAAGCAGCTGACGCAGGACAGGAAGGAGGGTGGCTAGGGGTGACTTTTCTCTGAATTAACCATGTAGCGCTCCTTTACTCCATAAACTTCATGCATGGATAACATAAAAATATTAAAGCTTAATTTGCAAAATTCCAATAAGATCATCCTCCAGAAAGATCAGTGTGGAAACAAGAGCTGCAGGCTGCAGGGGTGTCTGCCTTGAGCAGACAAGATCCAGGTGGGGGCCCAGCATCTCCTCAGATCTCTGGAAGGCTGCCCCATCATTGTCCTGTGCGGCCATGCAGACCCCAGGCAGGCACAGGGACGCAAGAGGACTCGGCCCAGTTCCACCGGTGCACCCATGCACCTACTGTGCACCAGGCAATGTGTCCAACGTGGTCAAGGGGGACTGTCCCTGGCCCCAGGGACCTGAGCATCGAGTGGGCGACAAGGGATCCAACAGCAGCTTTCAGAGACCCTGAGGGCACAGCAGAGCCACAGACCGGCGGGTCCCCAGGGCAGCAGCTCAAGCAGGATCTGAGCCGGGAGCAGAGAGCAGGTGGTCAAGCTGCAGAGCCACGGTTTGAAGGGAGGGGCAGGGCAGCCCTGGGATGACAGGAGGGACAGCAAGTGTAAGGCGGTCCCACGGCCACCTGGGGGACTGGCGGAGGCTGCAGGGCGGCACCAGGGACCCTCCAACCCAAGGGCCCACCATGCGCCCAGCCACAGGCGGGCAACTGGAAGGGACTGCGGGGCCCAGCCAACAGCACCTGTTGCTTGAGAGGCAAAAACAATCCAAGGGACTGCCACCGATGTCCAGGCAGGTGAGGGCTTGTGGCAGTCCTGGTCTGAGAAGGGCAAGTCCCCAGCCTGCCATCTCATCTAACCTGCAGTCTCACACGGCCTCTGCCTTTGCTCAGGAACTGGGAGATGGAGGCCATCCCACCGCTGGGCCACAAAGACTCAGCCCAGCCCGAGGACACTGGTCTGGGAACATGAAACACCACCGGGCAGGACTCTGGGCCTCAAGGCCCTAGGGACCCGGAGCCCAGCGGGCCCGTCCCCGGTGGCTCGCAGCCACCTACCCCCACACCCAGGCTCCCCACGTGCCAGGCTGCACCCTCAGCTTCCTCCCCGCCGCTCCCGCCCATCCACCCGCAGCCAGTTCACGCCCCGACTTCTGCACCAAGGTGTCCCCCAGCAAGGGCAGGCAGCGGCTGCAAGGACCCAAACAAAGAGGGAGGGAGCCGCTGGCAGCCCAGAGGGCAGGCGGAAGCTGCAGCAGGGCCAGGCCAGAGGGCCGGGCGGATGCTGCTGGGCTGTGGTGTCCCAGGGCAGCCCCAGGCTGCCTCCAAACTGCCGGGCAGAGGCCAAGGGAGCAATGCCCGCTCCCCGGGAGGCCTCCTACCAAGCGGCCTCCATGACCGCCCACCAGGGCTGCCAGCCTCCTCCAGCCTCGTGCCCCTGGCTCATGTTGGCGCCAGGCTGTGCCCTGGACGTCAGCCGCCTGCCCCCCAGCAGCCTGAAGGGAGCCGTCTGTCCTCAGACTGCCCAGATCCTGTCCCCCAGGCACCAGAGGAAGTGCGGGTGCCAGGGGACGCCCCCAGCAATGCAGCCCTGCCTGCAGGACAAAGCCCCCAGGCCCGGGGGAGGAGCGGCCCGCCAGCAGGATGCCAGGGGACACGGGGCTGGAGGGGATACCCGGACACGGCTCAGGCTGGGGGCCAACAAGCCGAGCTCCAGAGCCAGCGCTGAGGCTTTGGTAGGGCCGTCTCTGCCCCGGATGGGCTCCCACGCAGGGCGTGACCTCTGCCTGCAGCTCTCTCCTGCCGGCCTGGGTCTCTCAGAGGCCGGGGCCCCCCAAGACCAGGGTCGACCTTCCCAGCAGCAGAAAAGGAACGGTACTGTCTAGACAGGGGTGCCACAGAATGGGCCCTGCCCCCCTCACTAAGCTGAAGGGACCCCCCCCAGGACCCACCCCCCCCCGCCAAGGATGGAGAGCCGGTCCTCCCAAGCTGGGGCCTGCACAAGTCACTTCACCCCCCTGGTCCTGCTTTCTCATCTGTAATAGGGGGCAGCACATCCGCCCTTAGCAGATCAGGGTGAGGCGTCAATCAGTGACCTTCAGGAGCTCACCTGTGAGCCTGTGCCCCGCGGTGACATGGGGCCACATGCGGCACTGGACAGCAGCAGCGCTGAGTGAGGGCCAGGCCTGGAGGCTGGAGAAGCGAGAGCAGCACGGCTGTCCCTCCTTCCTCCTGCCCTCAGCCTCCCGAAGGCCTGAGCCCACCAGGAACCGCAAGATGCTCCCAAAACCCAGAGCAGGAGGAGGGCACAGGGACCCCGCAGCACCCCTGGAGGTACAAGCTGACCTCTGCCCGATGGCTGCGCCTAGCCCTGCACCTTGCTCCTGCTGGAGCCTCTGTGAGGCCGTCCCGGCCCTGGTGACGGGCCTGACGGCAGCAGCAGGCATTCTCCCCACTGGAGGGTCCACTCCCCGGCCCGCCCCACGCCCACCTGCAGGGGAGCTGCGGGGGCAGACCTGCCCCGATTCTGCGCTCTGCTCCACCCTGGGCCCAGCGGCATGGCTCCGGGTCCTGACCTGCGTTGCTTAGAGACCGCAGAGCTGCCCCGGCGAGGGCGAGGGTGAGGGCGAGGTAGGAGGCAACACTGATGCCCAGTCCCACCCACGCCACTCCAGGCGGAGGCTGAGCAGCCCAGGCTGCTGCCCACTGAGGGCCAGGAGGACACGGTGAGTCGGCCCGCGCACGACAGCCCTCAAACTAGACCCACACTTCCCCCCACTGACCACCCCCCATGGGCCCACCGAAGGGACTTCCAATGGGGGGCATTGGGGAAGCCAAAGCAGCTCGGAGACCCCGGGAGGCAGGCAAGGACATCACCCAAGACCAGGCTGCCCCGGCACCAGGCCCCGCATCTGGAGTGTCCTGCACAGAAGACATCTGGGGCCTGTCTGGAGTCACAGGGGCCTTGAAGGATGACAGGCGTCTACCGTGGGCCCAGGGGAGGGGGTGGAGGCCCCTGTGCCAGGCATCCCCTGATCTAGCTCAAACCCCCAATTTTTTTTTTTAACATCTTTATTGGAGTATAATTGCTTTACAATGTTGTGTTAGTTTCTGCTGTATAACCAAGTGAATCAGTTATACATATACATGCATCCCCATATCTCCTCCCTCTTGCGTCTCCCTCCCACCCTCCCTATCCCACCCCTCTAGGTGGTCACAAAGCACCGAGCTGGTCTCCCTGTGCTATGCGGCTGCTTCCCACTAACTATCTATTTTACGTTTGGTAGTGTGTATATGTCCGTGCCACTCTCTCACTTTGTCCTGGCTTACCCTTCCCCCTCCCCGTGTCCTCAAGTCCATTCTCTATGTCTCCGTCTTTATTCCTGTCCTGCCCCTAGGTTCTTCAGAACCATTTTTTTTTTTTTTTTAGATTCCATATATATGTGTTAGCATACGGTATTTGTTTTTCTCTTTCTTACTTCACTCTGTATGACAGTCTTTAGGTCCATCCACCTCACTACGAATAACTCAATTCCATTTCTTTTTATGGCCAAGTAATATTCCATTGTATACACGTGCCACATCTTCTTTATCCATTCATCTGTTGATGGACACTTAGGTTGCTTCCATGTCCTGGCTACTGTACACAGTGCTGCAATGAACATTGTGGTACATGACTCTTTTTGAATTACGGTTTTCTCAGGGTATATGCCCAGTAGTGGGATTGCTGGGTCCTATGGTAATTCTATTTTTAGTTTTTTAGGAGCCTCCATACTGTTCTCCATAGTGGCTGTATCAATTTACATTCCCACCAACAGTGCAAGAGGGTTCCCTTTTCTCCACACCCTCTCCAGCATTTATTGTTTGTAGATTTTTGATGATGGCCATTATGACCGGTGTGAGGTGCTACCTCACTGTAGTTTTGATTCCTATTTCTCTAATGATTAGTGATGTTGAGCATGCTTTCATGTGTTTGCTGGCAATCTGTATATCTTCTTTGGAGAAATGTCTGTTTAGGTCTTCTGCCCATTTTTGGATTGGGTTGTTTGTTTTTTTGATATTGAGATGCATGAGCTGCTTGTATATTGTGGAGATTAATCCTTTGTCAGTTGCTTCATTTGCAAATATTTTCTCCCATTCTGAAGGTTGTCTTTTCATCTTGTTAATGGTTTCATTTGTTGTGCAAAAGCTTTTAAGTTTCATTAGGTCCCATTTGTTTAGTTTTATTTCCATTTCTCTAGGAGGTGGGTCAAAAAGGATCTTGCTGTGATTTACGTCACAGTGTGTTCTGCCTATGTTTTCCTCTAAGAGTTTGATAGTTTCTGGCCTTACATTTAGGTCTTTAATCCATTTTGAGCTTATTTTTGTGTATGGTGTTAGGAAGTGTTCTAATTTCATTCTTTTACATGTAACTGTCCAGTTTTCCCAGGACCACTTACTGAAGAGGCTGTCTTTTCTCCATTGCATATTCTTGCTTCCTTTATCAAAGATAAGGTGACCATATGTGTGTGGGTTTACCTCTGGGCTTTTCTCTCCTGTTCCATTGATCTCTATTTCTGTTTTCGTGCCAGTACCATACTGTCTTGATTACTTTAGCATTGTAGTATAGTCTGAAGTCCGGGAGCCTGATTCCTCCAGCTCCATTTTTCTTTCTCAAGATTACTCTGGCTATTCGGGGTCTTTTGTGTTTCCATACAAATTGTGAAATTTTCTGTTCTAGTTCTTTGGAAAATGC